TATCTGTACAAAAAATGGAAAAATATCCTCGGGTGAGGATAAAAAATAAAAAAAAAAAAGAGCCTACAAGTTTTGCTATTATGATTTTGCCAGCACTTTTCACGTTATTATAATTAATGGAATTCTAATAATCTTCTCAAGGGTTGAACTGGCTCTGGGTGAAAAAGGACCAGAAAGTAATTCTGTAATTTTATTGGCACAACCAAAGCCGGGGGAAGCGAAGATAAAGAATCTCTCTCTCTCTTTCCTCTCTCTTGCTTTAATATGAAAATAATTGCTTCTACTCTTAGAGACCTGCTTAATTAGACTAATCTGATTTTCTGCTGGTAAAACTAACATTAAAATGCTATTGCTGTGAGTTCTCTCATTATAGAGCAATCACACTTTTTCTTAACGGATACTAAAATCAAATGGTATAATGTTGGATGAGGTCATTGTGAATAGTTTGTTATAAGGTCTATTTTGAGGTACCACATGAATTTCAGTGACGATTATGCAGTGACAGAAACCAACGGAAGTTTTACTTCAGAAAAAAAAAAAAGAATTGCTACTACAATTAATCTACACAGATGAGGTCCCACAAGTTATTTCCTAAGATGTTCACTGACAAAAACCACCTGTTCTTCCATCCCAATCCTCAAACTCAACCCCTTCCAGATTTCCCTTCTTAGCTACTCCTCTATTCATTTTCTCCCTGCATAGTCTGAATGCGATGTTCAACCTTTGATGGATATTCTCACCAGCATTCTCAGCCCCTTTACTCCCTTAAACTTCTGCCTATCCATTCTGCCAAGATGCAGCTCAGAGTCAAACAACCATCTGTTCTCTCTACTACTGCTTATAGTTTGCCAAGCACTGCTGGAGAAATTGTATAACTGCTGATTCATGCCATAACAAAACTGCAGTTCCCAAACTCACCTTGACCGTTAGCACTACTTGGCAATCTTTCCATGCTTGTTTGGTTGGCTACCTATACCACTGCTCAGATGTATTCCAAACCTCAGGTCATTACTCTTTCAAAGTTTCTTACCATGCTTCCTCAATTAACAAATGACCTAACTCTTTACTCCATGAAAAATTAGTATTAAACTTTCCTTCTTTCTACGTCCAATGGTCAACTATACCTTCACCCATCCTACATCTGCCCTAGAGTTAATGTAGTGAATCAATGATCTCCTTTTAATACTGTTTTTTATTTTAATCTCTTAAAGTCTATATACATTATCAAAAGACACTCTTTTTTGTAAGTTATATTCCAGGTTGAAGGAATGGCCATTGGAATGTTAGGAAATAAAAGGGGCTGATTGGCTACAGCAAAGAGAACATCAGAATAGCAAGTGTTCTTCCACTTTCAATCACTCATGAGCAAGGACAGAAAGGAAGGTGAGTTGGGATGCTGCCTGCCTATTAAATGTTTTAAAATTCTAACATAATTCTGCCAACCAAATGTCACAATATGAAATTTAAAGAGGTCATGCTTTAGTGATCAATGCCATTTTTGTCCTCTATTATTTGCTACCACCTGCCACATCTACAGTCTTAAAGGCTACTACTAGTAATAATTAGTTTACTTAGTTCCTTCTTTTAACTGTGTAGAGTTTGCTCACCCTTATTCAATCCAAACTCTTCATGGGGATTCCTAGGGCAGCCAATGTAAATTACATTATATTTTATCTGGTATGGCTGTTCTAATTTAATGTTATATTACACTAGCTATCATATAAAACTTACACATGACACATACATGCTTTAGAAAATGTATTTGTAGAGACTGCCTAATAAGAAGTTTTGATGCAGAAGATACTTAGGATAAATATGTATCACATGTAACTAGGGGGCAGATCCAGGTTTTGTGGGACCCTGAAGTGTATATAATTTAGGGAGTTTTCTCTTTCTAAAAAAGAATACAAAATTATCTATTCAAAATGAGGTAAAGGGCCTTTCGGTAGAGGTCTGTGAAAAGGAAGGGCTCTTAAAGCTTAAGCTTCATTAGTTTCATATAAATCAACTTATTTGTGTGTGACTGCTACTTAGGGCATTAAACAATCCCAAACCCAAATAAACCAAAAACACGCTAAAATATAAACATCTGACAGGAGCCAGAACTTAACATATATTACATTTCATTCTCATAATAAACCTTTTTATTTACCATTCTTGTTTTCACCAAAGTAGTAACTGCAGCTCAGAGAATTTAGTAACTTACAGCTCATGGTTCAGGGTGAAGGTGAGATTTAAACCAAGTCCTGACAAAACTAAATCTTGTGGTATTTCTACTGTGATACTCTGCTTTTAAGGTTTCCCAAAAGAAAAGGGTTTAAGTTAATTTGGAGACTGCCTGTAGAAAATGCTTGGAAATACTGTTAATACTTGAAATTGATGTGATTTAATGTACATTTGAGAACACACTAAAATCACTGCCCTAAAACTGTGTTTAAAGGGCATGAAGAAGCAAATATATAACTTTTTGGGTTATTTTCTGCTCATTAGGTGACATAGATGAAGATACGAAATCTTAGGGTCTAGGAGAAATGTGGTTCTGATAAGGAGAGAAAAATGGAGGCAGAATCAGAATCTGGAATTAAGTCTAGAATTACAACCTCTCAGGGAAAAAGCCTGGCTATGGAAGGACATACTGACAGTATGGATCTTTCACAAATGTATCCTCTTGCTGCATATCCAATATTAGTCTATCTTCCCATTGGGCTGTATCAAGTTTTAAAAATAGGAAAATAATGATATTTGCCACACATATAATATTACTCAATATTACTCCTATACCTTATATTTGCCAGTTTGGCCTCTATTTTTTTAAACTGTCTCTTAGAGGTATCCTCTCCTCTTCCTGAGACCCCCAGAAGGTAGATAGATGCTTTGTCTTTATTGTTTCTTCACTCATAGAATCCAGCACTGTTCCCTACAGATAGTAGGCATTCCATGGAAGATGGTGTTGATGCATTTTTTGTTTTGTTTTTCTTTTATGTTAATCTTCATCCAAGGATATTTTCCCATTGATTTTTTTTTTTTAAGAGTGGAAGTGAGGCAGGGAGCGAGGGCGAAACATCTATTGATTGCCTCCCTTACAACCATGAGTGGGGCTGGGGATCAAACCTGCATCCTAGGTACATACCCTTGACGAGGAATCGATCCATGACTCTTTAGTCTGCAGGTTGATGCTCTAACCACTGAGCAAACTGGTCAAGGCTGATGAGTTATTATTATTATTATTTTTTTTGCTTCTCCCATCTCTCCTTATTTATAAATATATATATCATTCCCTAAATAATCATATTTTATATGGAGAATATTTCATACACAGATTAAAATGGCAGTTCATTTTTTAATTTTTTTGAGGAAACACCATATTGTTTTCCACAGTGGCTGCACCAGTCTGCATTCCCATCAGCAGTGTACTAGAGTCCCCTTTTCTACACACCTTCACCAGCACTTGATGTTTGATGATTTGTTGATGGCAGTCACTCTGGCAGGTGTGAGGTAATACCTCATAATTGTTTCAATTTGCACCTCTCTGATGGTTAGTGATGTTCAACATTTTTTCATATGTCTTTTGGCCATGTGTATATCCTGTATGGAGAAGTGTCTATTTAGACCCTCTGGCAATTTTTTAATTGGGTTGTTTGTCTTCCTTTTGTTGAGTTGTATGAGCACTCTATATATTTTGGAAATTACCCCTTATCTGATGTATCATTGGAAATTATGCTCTCCCATATAGTGGGTTCTATTTCCATTTTTTTTGTTGTTGTTGTTATTTTTTTTTTGAATTTTATTTATTTATTTATTTATTTATTTTTTGTTACAGATATTTTACCTTTTTACCCCATTGGCACCCCCCACCCCCCCACCCCTCCACCCTGTCCCCGGTTAAGTTGTCCATGTCCATTGGTCATGCATACATGCATATAAGTTCTGTGGTTTATCTCTTCCCACCCCCTCCCCACCCCCCATCCCCTCTTCTGAGGGATATCAGTCTGTGCCCTACTTCCATGTGTCTGGGTCTACTGTATTCCTCAGACTGTTATGTTCATTATATTCCGTATATAAGTGAGATCATGTGGTATTTGTCTTTTTCTGCTTGGCTTCTTTCACTTAGGATAATACTTTCCAGGTCCCTCCATGTCGTCTCAAAGGATAAGAGATCTTTCTTTCTTACCGCTGCATAGTATTCCATTGTGTATATGTACCACAGCTTTTTGATCCATTCGTCTACTGGTGGACACTTGGGCTGTTTCCAGATCTTAGCTATTGTAAATAGTGCTGCTATGAACATGGGGGTACATATATTCTTCCTGATTGGTGTTTCAGGCTTCTTAGGGTATATTCCCAGCAGTGGGATCACTGGGTCAAATGGAAGTTCAATTTTTAATTTTTTGAGGTAGCACCATATTGTTTTCCATAGCGGCTGCACCAGTCTGCATTCCCACCAGCAGTGTATTAGAGTCCCCTTTTCTCCACACCCTCGCCAACACTTGTTGTTTGATGATTTGTTGATGGCGGCCATTCTGACAGGTGTGAGGTGATACCTCATAGTTGTTTTAATTTGCATCTCTCTGATGATTAGTGATGTTGAGCATTTCTTCATATGTCTCTTGGCCATTTGTATGTCTGATGAGTTATTTTTGATAGGCCACCATTTTCTACCACAATAGGAATTCCATAATATACATATTTTGTGATTCTATATGATTCAATCAAAGATTTCAGAACAAAACTTTTGGTGTTGGCTAAAGCTAAGGCAAGAACTTATCAGGTGTGGTTAATGGTATTTTTAGTCAACAAACTGTCATTGATGTTGGAGTTACTTAAAAGACCTGTTGATTCTGTGGTCTTAGGATCATTGTGAACTCAAGCTGCAGCTAAAATCAGTCCAATGCAACAGGAATTTCAAGAACAGCAGCACAATAATGACAACTGAATGGAACAAGAAGGCACATATTTTCAAGAAGACCTCTTTATTCTTAAAGTAGAAGTTTCCCTTCAAGATGACAAGTAGTTCAAACTCTCCAGATTCTCACTTGCCCTCAAAAACAAGGTGAGTCTTTGACAGAAGATGCTAAATGGTAACTATTCAGGAGGGAAAAGAGGGTCTCTATTAACACAGACTAAAGGCAGATATTATGGTATTTCTTCCCACAGAAATTCTAAAATAGATTACAACTACTTGAAGGAATTGAATGAGGATTTAAAACTAAGAAAACTGGAACTACTAGAGATGCTAAAACCTATTGAAGATAAGAACAACCTCTTATTCCAGAAGTTAATGTCCAACTTGGAGGAAAAACAACGAAGGTAATGACTCCCTACTCAGGATTTTCTAAAGGGAGAAAGCTTGGAGAACTTTAATTCACAAGATTAGCAATGATTATTTACATTAAAAAAAAAAGGTTAGACATTCAGCTATGGTAGGTAAAGAATTTATAACCACAAAATCAGAATGGTAAGGAATCCTTTATTTTCTTTTAGTAAAATTAAATATGACTCAGCCCTCATATCTTGGGGTTATAGTTATTACTCTTCTTCCCTAGGGTATCTACCCAAGAAACAGATAAGAGCCTTTAATATCTTCAGTTTATTGTAGACACACTAATAGCTCCTTATTCATGTTTGTGGAATCACTTTAGGATAGATGACTCTGTTCTTCCCATGCCAAGCAACAGAATGGCAACCTTTTTAAGCATACTAGGCAGTGAGGTCTTAATGCTTCACTAAGGTACTCACTGTTCTTGGTACACACCAACTCCCTGTTTCCTTTCTAGTCTCGGGAAATCTCACCTTAATGGGTCTGCCTTCATTCTCTACCATTACCATAAGCATCTCAGGGAGCTTGGAATTTTGGAGAACAAATGCCAGGCACAAAATTGTGGTGAAGCAAACCCAGAAACTCAGACTTCTCTTGGAGCAAGAGAATACAAATTCTTGCTTCTCTTCTTATAATTGGAAAGGGAAAAGTACAATGAATATAAACATTATTAATGCCATTAAAGGATATCTTCTCTCACAGTCAAAGACTTGCTATTGATTCCGATTTTGTTAGAATCTTCTTGATGGCTTGACTCTCTGGGGGCTACCATAAGGATATAAGTGGTTTCCCTAACTAACTAAAATGTCTTTGTATGGAGAAGCAAGGCAGGGGAGATGGACAGAGACAGGGTAGGGAATGATTCTGGGATTTATCCTGAAGACAACAGGTTCTTTGACTTCCTTCACAGGAGCATAAATGGCCCTTTCTACCACAAAAATTATACACTAAAACATTTTTCTGATAGGGTGGAGAGGAGCCTCACGGGCTGTTGAAGACCTAAGTTTTGAGCATTACAGAGCACACAGCTAAGACAAATGTCAATTAGGAATGGAGTCATCCTATTAAGACCTGCTATGTCCAGAAGGACTTCGGTAGTTCCCATGATTTTAGCCCCCATCTCACTTCCATAGTAGAGTACTTTCTGACAGGTTGAAAAATATTAATATTATTCTTTAAGAAGTATTATGTTTTATTATGTCTCTCTTCTCCTTCTAGTCTGCAGATTATGAGACAGATCATGGCAGGAAAGGGGAGTGAAGAATCCTCAGCCATGGAGCTCATTAAGGAAGCAGAGGAGATGAAACAGAATCTGGTAAGAGGTTGATGGGCTCTCCAGGGAATGGCCTCCTGAACAGAGAACAATTCCAGTGCTGTTGTCAGATGTGGAAGGAAAGACAGAGTGCTCATCTCTAGTAGCTGATGCTAAAACATGTAATACTTCTTTAATCTAGAAAGTCCAGGATTATCCAAAGAAAGTCAGATAACATGTTGGGAAAAACAAGGACTAGTGGCTAGCAAAAATTCTATTTCTTTGATTTTTAAAAAAATTTTTTCTCTAGTGGTTAAGGAATACAAGCATATAAATCGTTCACATTTCAGAAGGAATAGAAAATACCTGCCAAAATAAAAGAAAGTTTGCTCTTGAGTCTTTTATTAATCATCACCAGATGACATTTTTACATTTACCTTCAGATAGAGAGGGAGGAAGAGAGAGAGAGAGAAACATCAATGTGAGAGAGACATATTGACTGGTTGCCACCTGCACAACCCCAACCAAGGTCCGGGGACGAACCGCAACCAAGGTTACCTTAGTGGGAACCAAGGTCACCTTAGCGGGAACCGAACCCGGGACTCTCTGGTCCACAGGCCAATGCTCTAACTGCTGAGCCAAACCATCCAGGGCTGCTCTGAGTCTTATAAAATATTTTTTTCTTTATTGATTTTAGAGAGAGAGAGGAAGGGAGAGGGAGAGAGAATGATAGAAACATCAATGAGAGAGAACACTGATTGCCTGCCTCCTACATGCCCCCCACTGGGGATTGGGCCCACAACCTGGGCACATGCCCTGACTGGGAATCGAATCGGCAACCTTTTGGTGCCCGGGTAAACACTCAACCACTGAGCCACACTGGCTGGGCATTTAAATCAACAATATAAAGGATCTTAAAAACTAGAAATTAGTGCTCTAAGTCCCAGGTAAATTGCCATATGATTAGAAAACCTTAAGTATTATCAGTGTGAGGAACTCATTTCTATTGATAGCATACCACAAATACCATGATTAAAGTTATTCAAAATTGTTGTTTTTTTTTTTAACATCATCATCATCATCAAACTCATCTCTCATGTTCCTAGATTTTGGGTTAGGCTCATTTATTGTTTTGTCTGTGGTTGACTATGTCACTGCACCCCTTTTCCCCTATTACTTAATAATTTCTTCCAATTTCACTTTAATGACAGAACAAACACGTGTTTCTGTTTGTTTGGTCCCCCCACCCCCACCCCACCCCAACAGGAAAGGAAAAACAAGATGCTTCGGAAGGAAATGGAGATGCTATGGAACAAGGTGTGCCATTAGGGATCTCTTGACAGTATTGTCTTACAGACCATAATGCAAAAAAACTTCCCTTTCCTCTGGTCCTGATCTTCATGGTTTTTTGCATGTCCTTGCTTCCACTCATGCCTCATTCTAATTCATTCTTTGCACAACCACCAAAGTGGTATTTTAAAATAATTTTTTCTTTATTGACCTCAGAGTGAGAGGAAGGGAGAGTAAGAAAGACATAGAAACATCGATGAGAGAGAACATCGACTTGCTGCCTCCCGCATGCCACCCACTGCGGATCTGGCCCACAACCTGGGCGTTTGCTCCGACCAGGAATTAAACTGGTGACCTCTTGGTGCATGGGTCAATGCTCAACTACTAAGCCACACTGGGCAGGCCAAGCTTTAAAATAATCAAATCATATTGCTCTTCTTATGAAAACCCTTAATAGATATTTCTTATTGCCCCATAATCTGGCTCTGGTCTAACTCTCTAGTCTCCTCATAGAAGTCCTTTCCTCCCTCCTTGTGATTCCTCAAACATGCTATGACTTTTCCTAACACAAGCCTTTTGTTCTTGCTTTATCTCTGGCCCATAATAGTATTTTCCTATGGTTGGGTCATTCTCTTCCTTTAGGTCTCTGTTTAAATGTCACCTCCTCAGGGAGGCTCTCCTTGTTTACACTATCTAAAATAGGGCGACCGCTCATACAACTCAAAAAAAGGAAGACAAAGAACCCATAAAAAATGGGCAGAGGAACTAAATAGACACCTCTCCAAACAGGACATACAAATGGCCAAGAGACATATGGTCAACATCACTAATCATCAGAGAGATGTAAATTTAAACAACAATGAGGTATCACCTCACACCTGTCAGAATGGCCGCCATCAACAAATCATCAAACAACAAGTGTTGGCGAGGGTGTGCAGAAAAGGGGACTCTAGTACACTGCTGGTGGGAATGCAGACTGGTGCAGCCACTATGGAAAACAATATGGTGTTACCTCAAAAAATTAAATATTGAACTGCCATTTGACCCAGTGATCCCACTTCTAGGAATATACACTAAGAAGCCTGAAACACCAATCAGAAAGAATGTATGTACCCCCGTGTTTGTAGCAGCACTATTTACAATAGCTAAGATCTGGAAAAAGCCCAAATGTCCATCGGTAGAATAATGGATAAAAAAGCAGTGATACATATACACAATGGAGTACTATGCATCAGTAAGAAAGAAAGATCTCTTATCCTTTGAGACGACATGGAGAGACCTGGAAAATATTATGCTAAGGGAAACAAGCCAAACAGAGAAAGACAAGTATCATATGATCTCACTTATTTGTGGAATATAATGAACATAACAGTCTGAGGAATGGGGTAGTCCCTGAGACGTGGGAGTGGGGTACAGACTGACAATTTCCAGAAGAGGGTGTGGTGGGGGAGAGATAAACCACAGAACTTATATGCATGTGTGCATGAACAATGGACATGGACAACAAAGCTAGGATAAGGCAGGGAGGGAGGGGGAGGGGGGAACCAGTGGTGGAAAAAGGAGAAACATCTGTAACAAAAATAAATAAATAAATTTTCAAAAATAAAATAAAATAGGGCAACCCCCACCCCCTACTTTCTAATATACAACCTTGTTCATGTCTTCCATAACACTTTTTATAATATAAGCTATTATCATTATTATTATTATTATTATTATTATTATTATTTTACTGGTTTCTTGTCTCCCTGTGCTAATCCGGAATAAGAGCTCCTCTAGTATCTTGATTGCTTTGTTCATCTCTGAATCCCTAGCACATAGCACAATGCTTGTAACATAGTAGACAATAAATGTGAATTGAATGAATGAATCAATGAATGAATGCATGAATACCTATTTCTAATTCCACTATAATTTTGCGACAGTCATTGCACTGTTTAAGATAACAATAGTAGGGCCTTTTGCTGGGAAACCAGGCAGGGATATTCCTTTGTGGACTAAGTCCTAGGTATCTGAATGTTTCTTCACAGACCATGAGACGAGAAGAGTAGATTGTGTCTTGTGATTAAAAACAGGTGTGTCTTGAATGCTCCCATAAAAAGACACAGAGTAGTTGATTGGATAAGAAAGCATGACTCATCTATATATTGTTTACAAGAGACTCACCTCACAACAAAAGACTCACATAGATTGAAAGTGAAGGATGGAAAAAAATCTTCCAAGCAAACAGAAAGGAAAAAAAAGCTGGGGTAGCAATACTCATATCTGATAAAAATAGATTTCAAAATGAAGGCCATAGCTAGAGACAAAGAAGGCCACTACATAATATTGAAAGTATCTATCCAACAGGAAGATATAACCTTGATAAACATATATGTACCCAATATAGGAGCACCAAAATATATTAAAAATCTTCTGGAGGACTTCAAAGGAGAAATCGATAGCAATACAATCATAGCAGGGGACTTCAACACGCCGCTGACATCACTGGATAGATCCTCTAGACAAAAATTTAGCAAGGAAACAGAGACTCTAAATGAGCACTAGACCAAGTGGATTTAATAGGTATCTACAGAGAATTAAACCCCAAAACTACAGAATTCACATTCTTCTCAAGTGCACATGGGACATTCTCAAAAACAGACCACATGTTAGGGCACAAACTAAGTCTCTACAAGTTCAGGAAGACTGAAATCATATCAAGCATCTTCTCAGATCACAATGGCATGAAACTAGAAATCAATTGCAAGAAGAACATACAAAGACATTTGAACACATGGAAGCTAAATAGCTTGTTGTTAAACAATGAATGGGTCACCAAGGAGATCAAGGAAGAAATCAAAAACTTCCTGGAAACCAATGAAAATGAAGACACAACAATACAAAATCTATGGGATGCAGCAAAAGCAGTTCTGAGAGGGAAGTTCATAGCACTACAGGCCTACCTCAAAAAACAAGAAAATTCTCTAATAGATTATCTAACCTCACAACTTAAAGAACTAGAGAGCAAACAAAAATAAAACCCCAGAGCAAGTAGAAGGAAGGAAATAGTAAAGATCAGAGCAGAAATAAATGACATAGAGACCAAAAAAACAATTCAAAGGATCAATAAAACAAAGAGCTGTTTTTTCAAAAAGATAAACAAGATTGATGGACCCTTAGCTAGACTCACCAAGAAACAAAGAGAGAGAACCCAAATACACAAAATCAGAAATGAAAGAGGAGAGGAAACAACTGACACCACAGAAATACAAAAGATCATTAACAACTACTATGAACATTTATATGGCAACAAATTCGACAATCTAAGCGAAATGGACAAATTTCTAGAAACACATAGTCTCCCAAAACTGGATCAGGAAGAGATAGAAAACTTGAACAGACCAATAACAACAGAAGAAATTGAAGATGTAATCAAGACTCTCCCAGCAAACAAAAGCCAAGGCCCGGATGGCTTCACAGGGGAGTTTTACCGAACATTCAAAGAAGAACTAACACCCATTCTCCTCAAACTATTTCAAAAAATTCAAGAAGAAGGAAGACTTCCAAACTCGTTTTATGAAGCCAGCATAATTCTAATTCCAAAACCAGAAAAAGACATTACAAAGAAAGAAAACTACAGGCCAATATCCCTGATGAACATAGATGCCAAAATCCTGAACAAATACTAGCTAATCGGATCCAGCAATACACCAAAAAAATTATCCACCATGACCAAGTGGGATTCATCCCAGGGATGCAAGGCTGGTACAATATTCGCAAATCAATAGATGTGATACACCACATAAATAAAATAAAGAATAAAAACCACATGATCATATCAATAGATGCCAAAAAAGCCTTCGACAAAATCCAGCATCCATTTCTGATAAAAACGCTCAGCAGTGTGGGAATAGAGGGATCATATCTAGACATAATTAAGGCCATATATGAAAGACCTACAGCCAACATCATACTCAATGGGCAAAAACTAAAAGCATTTCCCTTAAGAACAGGAACAAGACAAGGATGCCCACTTTCGCCACTCTTATTTAACATAGTACTGGAAGTCTTAGCCACAGCAATCAGACAGGAAGAAAAAATAAAAGGGATCCAAATTGGAAAGGAGGAAGTGAAATTGTCATTATTTGCAGATGACATGATACTATACATAGAAAACCCCAAAGATTCCATCAAAAGTTTACTAGACTGAATAAATGAATTTGGCAAAGTAGCAGGATACAAAATTAACGTCAAGAAATCGATGGGATTCTTATACACCAATGATGAACTCACAGAAAGAGAAACTAAGAAAACAGTCCCATTTACCACTGCGGCAAAAAAATTAAGATACCTAGGAATATACTTAACCAAAGAAATAAAGAACCTATTCGCAGAAAACTACAGGTCATTGAAAAAAGAAATAAAGGAAGATATAAAAAAGTGGAAGCACATACCCTGTTCATGGATTGGGAGAATTAACATCCTTAAAATGTCCATATTACCCAAAGCAATCTATAGATTCAACGCAATCCCCATCAAAATACCAAAGGCATACTTCACAGAATTAGAACAATTACTTCAAAAGTTTATATGGAACCAAAAAAGGCCTTGAATAGCCACAGCAATCTTGAAAAGGAAGAACAAAGTTGGAGGGATCACATTACCAGATTTCAGGTTATACTACAAAGCCACTGTAATCTAAACAGCCTGGTACTGGCACAAGAACAGGCATATAGAACAGTGGAACAGAACAGAGAACCCAGAAATGGACCCAAGGCAATATGCTCAATTAATATTTGACAAAGGGGGCAAGAGCATACAGTGGAGTAAGGACAGCCTCTTTAATAAATGGTTCAGGGAAAATTGGACAGCTACTTGCAGAAAAATGAAACTAGACCATCAAATTACACCCTACACAAGAATAAACTCAAAATGGATAAAAGACTTAAATGTGACTCATGAATCCATAAAAATCCTAGAAGAAACTGTAGGCAACAAAATTTTGGACATCATACGCAGCAGAATTTTTACTGACACATCACCTAAGGCAACAGAAACAAAGGTGAAAATGAACACATGGGACTACATCAAACTCAAAAGCTTCTGCACAGCGAAAGATACAATCATCAAACCGGAAAGGCTACCCACTGTATGGGAGTGCATCATTGCCAATGATATATCAGATAAGGGGTTAATTTCCAATACATATAGAGTGCTCATACAACTCCACAAAAGGAAGACAAAGAACCCAACTTAAAAATGGGAAGAGGTACTAAATAGACACCTCTCCAAACAGGACATACAAATGGCTAAGAAACATATGAAGAAATCCTCATAACTAATCATCAGAGAGATGCACATTAAAACAACAATGAGGTATCACCTCATACCTGTCAGAATGGCCACCATCAACAAATCATCAAACAACAAGTGTTGGCGAGGGTGTGCAGGAAAGGGGACTCTAGTACACTGCTGGTGGGAATGCAGACTGGTGCAGCCACTAGGGAAAACTATATGGTGTTACCTCAAAAAATTAAAAATTGAACTTCCATTTGACCCAGTGGTCCCACTTCTAGGAATATACCCTAACAAGCCTGAAACACCAGTCAGAAAGAATATATGGACCCCCATGTTTATAGCAGCACTATTTACAATAGCTAAGATCTGGAAACAGCCCAAGTGTCCATCAGTAGACGAATGGATAAAATAGCTGTGGTACATATACATAATGGAGTACTATGCAGCTGTAAGAAAGAACGATCTCTTATCCTTTGAGACTACATGGAGGGACCTGGAAAGTATCATTCTAAGTGAAACAAGCCAAACAGAGAAAGACAAGTATCATATGATCTCACTTATTTGTGGAATATAATGAACATAACAGTCTGAGGAATGGGGTAGTCCCTGAGACGTGGGAGTGGGGTACAGACTGACAATTTCCAGTAGAGGCAGTGGTGGGGGAGAGATAAACCACAGAACTTATATGCATGTTTGCATGAACAGTGGACATGGACAACAAACTGGGAAAAGAGCAGGGAGGGAGGAGGAGGGGGGAACCAGTGGTGGAAAAAGGAGAAACATCTGTAACAAAAATTAATTAATAAAAATAAATAAATAAAATTTTATTTATTAATAGTTTTAGAATAAATAAAGAAATTTTAAAATTAAAAAACAAAAACCAGGTGTGTCATGCTCCTGCTTTTTTCATCTCATCTTTCCACAAATAATCAGGATACATCAAGCCTTACATCTTTACTGAGATCTGCTCCTTGTTCTAAGTGTCAGCTACAAATCAGTTCTATGAATGATCAGAAGTCTTAGTTCCTGAGTTCTTGAGTTCTTGTGAAAGGAAATGTCTTCTATCAAAATCCAGCTTCTCCAGAGTTCCCAAAAGACTTTTTATAAAGGATGTCCATATGACTTAGCTTGTGATCAACTTTCTCTTTCCATATTTTTAGACAGAAAGAAGAGACAAGAGCAGCCTGCTTAGTGGTCAAGAACACAGGCTTCAGAGTCTGATAAATCTGGTTCAAATTGCAGCTCTATATTTTTCTAGCTGTGTGACCCCAAACAAATGACTTAACCTCTCCAAGTCTCAGCTTTCTCATCTGTAAAATAGAAATAAAAATAGTCCTGTGAGGATTAAATGAGCATGTTTGTAATGTAGTAAAGTAGTGTAAGTAAATAAGTAGCTTATAGTAGTGATATAGAATAAGGGTTCAGTTAATAGTTATTATAAGGCACACTCAATGGACCAAATGTAAAGATTTGTTCCATCCTGAACCCCGTTGGTGGTTCACTTTTCATGTTGGGCCCTGAGAGGTTGAGGATTGGCAGGAACCAAAAGCCTTAACCCATATTGGCTTTCTACTTTCCTTACTCATTCCCACTAATTTAAAGCTTTGCCAAAATGTCTCTCTACAGACATTCAACACAGAAGAACTCAGTGATCAACAAAAAGCACCACAGATAAAAAACAAAGCAAACTTGCAGGATGGAAAGGCAAGTAGACTTCACGGTACTTAGAATTTAAAGGTTGTTGATGCCACGCAACTGGAAACAGGCGGTTGACAATCAGGGCTATTTTGGGTAGGCAGATGGGTAGGATCTGGTCTTAGGATATATTGGATCTACTGTTTGCTAAGGCATTGAACTTCTTTCCTGGGACCTTTTATTCTTTTAACTCTCTTCTTCTATCCCAGGCTCCTGAAAGCCCCTCTTCACCTAGGAAGACTAAGAATGAATTGGAGACATCCTTTGCAGAGAAAGTGAAGGAGATAAGGAAGGTAGTACAAATTTTCTGAATGGCACTGGCTTTTAGAGCTGACAGATTAGATATCATTAATGTAGCAATAATATGCCTAAACTACTGTACTCTTGAACTGATGCTAAAATTTATAGAACATCTGATTCCCTTATGATATTATGTTTGAGTCAGAGTGACACTGCAAGTTTCTGGGAAATCATGTTAGCTAGGGCACAGTGGAGAAGCTAACAATGATAATTTCACAATAGCTATGTGACATCAAAATACTTGTTAATTTGTTTTTGAACATTTATTTAGAAGTATTATGTGTGTATCTAATCTTCTCTCAGCCAATTAACTCATAGAAAATGATCCTATTCATTTAGATTTTAACTTTTGGAGAGTGAATTGTACAGGTAAAGCCAATTAAAAGGACTGTGCAGTTGAAACCAATTTATTAGTGACTCTGACACCATTGTTTTGCTATAAAGTCTTTGAAGCATACTGAGAAAACTGATTTCTGATCTCAATTTACTTTGTCACCCAGAGGCTCTTTCTTCCACCAGGAAAAGCAACAGAGGAAAATAGAATGGGTCAGGTATCAGGAACAAGCCAACAACCTTCAGGTATTAATGTCTTCCAGGCTAGGCTCGGAGACTTGGGGTACAATTTCATTCATACAATATACAGACTTTTAGTTTCATAATATATATATATTTTTTATCCTCACCTGAGGACATTTTTCCATTTTTTGTACAGATAGAGTGGGAGGGAGAGAGAGGAAGAGAGAGAGAGAGAAACATCGACGTGAAAGGGACACATCGAGTGGCTGCCACCCGCACGACCAACCAGGCCCGGGGACAAACTGCAACCGAAGTACGTGCCCTTAGCGGGAACCGAACCCGGGTCTCTCCGGACCGCAGGCCGATGCTCTAACCGCTGAGCCAAACCGGCCAGGGCTAGTTTCATAATATTAAACCCAATGCCTTCATCTCAATTACCAATTGTCCTGATAAAAGAAATGTTTCATGGGAGATGGCTGGAGAGAACTGTCTCCAGCTTTACCTTGAGTAACTTGAAATAAGTAGCACTTTTTTTTTTGTTTGGTCTTGATTATGTTCTATTTGAAATGGGGAAAAAAATCACAGATACTTTCTCCCCAACTTTTAAAAACTAAGCATGATAGGATCATTTTTATACTTCTGAGTAAAAAGGATTCATGTAAGTGGTTTTAGAGAAGCCAACAGTATATGAATAGTTCTGAAAAATGTTCTCTTGTAGAATGACTTTAATGGAAACGTGATTGAGTTCAGAATTGAAGCTTTGAAGAACTACCAGCAGGCCAATGACCTGAAGTTATCACTATACTTACAGCAGAATTTTGAGCCAAAGCAAGCATTTAAAAAATCTACCTGGGTCCCAAGAGGGTAGGTAAAGTTTCATGGGTACACAGTTTGAGGGTTTGTTTTTTTTTTCTTTCACATTAGAGATCCCATTACATGTAAAGTGATTAACACAATGTCTGACACATATTAAGTTAAATGTTAGTAGTGTTATAATAAATATTATCACTATCATTATAATAATTACTCAGAAGCTCGCATACCAACGTAAGGATTCCTCTGGAGGAAATGAAAGTTTCCTTTTTTGTAAAAACTAATATGTTATATACTTAGCATGTATTTGATACATAGTTGGTACTTGATAAAATATTAGTTTCCTCCCCACCCCTCCCCTCTTCTAGAAATTAAAGTAGTTTGATCTCATGGATCTTGTTGGAATAGATTCTGCTACTTCAGAACAGAAGGCCAAGGCAATAGACATCTGACAATGGTCGTGAGTTTCACCAATCCAGATATTCCTCTGGGAGTTTCAGCATTTCCGCCCCCAAATAATTTAAGTCATCATTAGAGCAAATCATATAGTTTACCATAATAAAGAGAATAAAGGAATGGCTTCTGAGGGGCAGGAGAAAAGAGTTCTTAAATTTTCAGGGATCTATGAATTTGAACTCAGTATTTTAAAAAAGAGAGATAGAGCCCTGGCTAGTTTTGCTCAGTGGTTAGAGCATCGACCTGCGGATCAATGAGTCTCGGGTTCGATTCTGGTCAACAGTACGTACCTTGGTTGTGGTTCATCCCTGGCCCTGGTGGGGTCGTGCGGGAGGCAACCAGTTGATGTGGCTCTACCACATTAATGTTTCTCTCTGTATCTCTTTTTCTCCCTTCTTCTCACTCTGATAATAAGTAGAAAAATATCCTCAGGTGAGGAATGAAAAAAAAAAAAAAAAAAGAGAGACATAGAATGAGAGATCATGGCTAAGGGATGACAATATGTAACATTATCAGGACTCAAACAGTTTACAAAATTACACATAGCACATGGGATAAAACAAACAGATGAATAAATCAACACAAAGGGAAAGTAATTTGAAGGCAGGTAAATACATGAAAATGCATAATGGAAGTACTATATAGTTGGTAGAGTCAGGCTTCAAACTTGGTTCTGAATGTCCCAGGAAAAGAAACATGGATTTATGGTGTCCACAAAATAACAATCACCAATTGATGAGGAGAACTATAGCTATTGGTACTGATACCAGAGAGAAATTTCTTTCCAGGTCCTTATTATGGATACAGGACACTTTATGTGTATTATGGTAGCTACTGTCCTCAACAGTATTTCTAAAATGAATTCAGAATCTAAATTTGCTAGGCTGTTTCTTATCTGTTCCTTGGAACAATCTGATAATGAATTATTAATTTGAAGTTAAAAAAATAATGAATCAGCTCAATATGATTTGGTCTAGGTACAAAGCACTGTTAGTCTGACTTGATCCATAAGTAAAATTTAGAAAATCTAGAAGACTGGATGAACTACCAATCTTTCAGTCAGTGTTCCATTCATATTTTTCTTTTAACTGTTGTTTTGATAAGAATTGGACCAAGAAAGCTTGAGGCTTTCTTCTCCAAAAAGAACCTGGAATACAACCAGAAGTAGTGTAAAGTCATTAAGATACTAATGAAAATTATAGAAAAATGGAGGATTATGAGGAGGACAGATCCTTGTTTTATTTCATTTAGATCATTTTTGAGGAATCCATAGAGTAAGGGACAAAATTCTTTTAGTTCTAGATTCAAATCAAGCCAACATTAGTAATAAATGAAAGATTTCATTCAATTTGATCACCTCAAACTTGGAGTCTTTGAGCTTTGAACTAGGACAGCCCACAGATCAACACCCTCTTTGTTTTCTCTCCTCTTGTGCTACTGGAGAATTAAGTGTCTGGGCACCAAACAGTTTTGTTATTGCAAATGACTGTAGCCACAGGCACGAGTGACCCATTGCTCCTGTGTTTTATTGATCGTGTATTCATTGAGCGTGGAATATAGGCTAGTTTTATTTTCTAATACAAATACATACAAAATCTTTAGGCTTGTTTGAGCTCAAATGGATCTGAAACCTAAGGTTTTTTGTTTTTTTTGGTTTTTTTTTTATCCTCACCTGAGGACACTTTTACACTTTTTGTTCAGATAGAGTGGGAGGGAGAGAGAGGAAGAAAGAGAGAGAGAAACATCGACATGAAAGGGACACATTAAGTGGCCGCCACCCGCATGACCAACCAGGACCAGGGACAAACTGCAACAGAGGTACACACCCTTACCGGGAACCAAACCTGAGACTCTCTCTGGACCACAGTCTGATGCTCTAACTGCTGAGCCAAACCGGCCAGGGCTGAAACCTAAGTTTTAAAGTCTGCTTGTGTTGACCTATTTATAACCTAGTGTTTGGTTTTTTTAAAAGTAAACAAAGGAAACATTAGTTTTCTTTATAGAGGGATTTGAAAAGTAATTATGTTAAGATTATTACCAACAGTGATATAATAGGGAGGTTTGGTGGTGCTCAGTATTTCCCAACTTCTGTGTCCCTTGGACTATTGTTTATTCAATATTTTCTAGATTGACTTTAATTGCTTAAATGCATTACTTGAAAATAATGTTTGTATTACTGTTTTAAATGAAATACAGTATAGTTGTTCATAATAGAAAGTAAACTTGATAATAAGTATACAGAAAACAAAATGTTAATATTCTAACAAGATGTTGAAGCCTGAGGCATGTTTTATCTTTATTAGGAAATGAGATTAGAAAGATTAGAGAGATTTAAAGAAATCCAGCAACAAATTGAAACTTTCTCCTTGATGCCATCAAGTTTGAGAGAATTGAAAAGGGAATAATTTTCTCACTGTGATTTATAGCATTTAATGTGACTAGCACCTCTTAGATTTATCTCAGTTACCACCTAAAATCATCTCATTGTCAACTTAGGAAACAGTAATTTAATGTAACAAGCACTAGGTTTATGGTCAAATGCTTGAGTTGAAGACCCTACTCAGAGGCTAACCAGTTAAATAACTTGGGCAGGTCATTTTGTTCAGTTTTTTCTTTATCTAAAACAACCATAAAATATTATAGAGCATGTTGAAGACATATGGTGTTGTTTCACCCTCACAATGACTCTGTAGGGTAGTTATTATAGAACAAGAAACAAGTTTAGAGAAGTCAGGCTTCAGACTCCATATCCAAAGCTCATCTAGAGTAGGCTATCCAATGGCAGTATTGAAGTATGTAATTTTTCATGACTCTTTCATTTCTACAGGCTATGACTTGAATTCAACTTATCACTTGTTTAATGTATAATGTTCCAAATGAAGAATCATACTCCCTAATATTAATTTGTTCAGTAATAAAACAAATTGACAGATTTGTAATTCTGCATTTAGCCCAGTAGGTGGCACTGATCACATCCAGGCTTCTAGTCCACAAATCTTGGTAATTCAGGAAATGCTATAGAAGTGATTGGCCTTCTATTACCCTTAGGACAAAATGTGCTACATTTACATATGAAATAAAAACAGAAAAAAATCCTATTGATGTTTTCCGCCATGCTCTGTGGCACTGAGGTGTATTACTGGCAGCCTTGATTAGCCATATTAAATTTAGTATTCAGCTTCACAATCCTTATCTATTATTCTACTCCATCCAGTCCAAACACCAGTCACTGCCCATTTCCTCCACAATCCCTATCTACCACTGTTTCTACCATTGATACATCAGGCAACTGGGACACTGAATTAAAAAATCAGTTAGGCAATTGCACAAGCTGTGGTGATTTTTTGAAGGTTAAGTACTTAATAGTGTTCCTGGATAATGTTTCTTTTCCTCTGGTGTCAAAAGAATTGAATTTCACAAATCTGTCTGAAGGAAAGGGTAGAATGTAATTTTGGACACAGCTCCCAGCAAATCAGGGTACAGGCCCTTCCATTCGTTCCAGGCATTTCCAAGTAGAGAGCTGCTTCTCCCACTGCTCTTGGTAAAGAATCCCTCCTCCCACATCAACTGTCCTGTGTGCTGGTTGGCTGAGTCATAGTGGTGTGACTTGTTTGGATGGCAAAATACAATACTGTGTTAATATTACTGACTTTGTTACACTTCAAGCAATCACTATTTACAAATTCCCTTGAGGCCCAGGTTGTAGTATTACCCTTGTCAGTCTTTAGCACACTGTATCACATAGTCTTATAAAAGAGAAAAACATTTTATACCTAGGGTAAAGTATTTCCTTTCAATGTTTCCAGAGATGGGTCACATTTGAAGGGATTTATTTCCCCACCAGAGTAAAATTACAATTTGACCCAGGGTGTATGGCAGCCCTTCCCTGGCTTCCGCAGAGTTGAGAAAGCAGTTCGTGGCCTTTGGCAGTCACCTATCTTAGAGAACACAGGTACAAAGCAATCTTTAAATTCAGCTGAATTTCCCATCATGCCTGCTGGTGTTTAAAGAAGAGGTTTGTCTTTAGTAATAATAGAAGTGGTGATAAACATTTGATTTTGACAGCCTTGCTTTTCTCTCCTCCACCCCTTCCTGAACTCAGCATTTCCTTGAGCTCTTTTGAAAAGCTGAAGTTTGGATGTGAACATTTTTCTACATTTATAAATTCAGATGAAAGTCCAGTGAGGTGGGAAGTGAATACTCTTGAGACCTTATTTATTCTGTAACTCCCTCTATTCTGAAAGCAGATCATTCTTCCCAGCTTTAACCTTTACTTCGCTTTAGTATTACTCTTCCTGATGGCTGAAACACACTCTAACAGGTGCTAGTAAAAGGAAAATAGTAGTGTTAAGCTACAATGCTGAAAAGCAGGGATGGAAACCCACAGCTGGCTCAAATCTGGATCCTTGATAAATAGCATTGCTCTCAAACACAGGATTTTCATAAGGTTTATGGTATTAGTAGGTTATGAAACTAATTTCTAAACTAGATTGCTTTTTCACTTCATATAAAACCCAACCGAATTTCAGGGGAAGAATAAAAAGTCTTCTTCCCATAATGTAAATTTTAAAGTTTTAAAAAAGTAAACTGTGACTTTAATAATAATATGATTATTTCAATGAATGACAATAGGTTCCAAACTTTTTTGCATCATACACTCAGGAGAGCACAGGATGTCTAAGATAGGGTTGTCATATTTAGCAAATAGAAAGAGGATGCTCAATTAAAATTGAATTACAGATATATAACTTTTTAGTATAAATATGTCCCAAATATTACACGGGACACACTTATATTAAAAATTATTTGGTGTTTATTGAAATCCAAAATCAATTGGGTGTCCTGTACTTTGGTCTGGCAACACAAATCTAGGACCGATTCACTACAGAGCCTATTTAGCGCCCTACAATTCTTGTGTCCCCTCTTTCCTTCCCTTTTTATTGCCTGCCTTCTCCTTCTCTGTCTCAGCCTGTGCTAGTCATTCTTTCCTCTTCCTCTTTCTCTTCCCTACCTCCACCTTTGTCTTTGGTTTGTTTTTCAGTATCCACAGTTGGATATACTGTGAGTTATCTGAGGGTATGAATATATGTATATGAATTACCATGACATTTCTTCATTTAAAAGTTGTATTAGAAGTACATTTTATAGCCTCTCAAATAAAAATTTTTTTTGCATGTAATATTCAATGATTATTTTTTTTCCTGTGGGACATGAGCTCTTAACAACAACAAAAATAGTTTGTCACCCCAACTTTAAAAATACTGCTTGATAAAGTTATTTTCTTTAAAAAATTTTTTAATTCTCACCTGAGGATATATTTTTATTGATTTAGGGGGAGAGAGAGAGAGAGAGAGAGAGAAAGAAACATGAGTGTGAGAGAGAAACATCGATCTGCTGCTTCCCGTAGGCACCCTGACCCAGACAGAACCCTCAACCTAGGTATAAGCCCTGACCAGGAATTGAACCCTCATCCTGTTACTGTATAGGATGATGCTCCACCAACTTACCCACTAGGCCAGGACAAAAAAGTAAACAATTAGAAAATCCACATTAATGCTAATACCAGAGTGAGTCCTACAGTCATACGATCATATAATACTGTGATGAATGTTAATAGCCTTGTAACTCCAAATAAAACTAGTTTTATTTATTTATTTACTTTTTCTCAAAGAACGCTCTCATTGCCCTAATGTTTCCCTTCAGGTACTGTGGGCACTACAACTATGGGCAAAAAAGAACCTAATGTGGTGAGAACTACTTTCATTGTCAAAATCACTTTAAAGTCTTGAGAAGCTGTAGATTTTTGGAATGCGTTTGTTAATGTACATTCTAATTCAATATTTTTAGGGGATTTATTTGCAAAGTGAGTGCCAGGGCATTTGATGTTTTAGCTGTCTTTTTTTTTTTTTTTTTTCTACCTGTTTTAGAGAATCCTGGTATTAAAGACCTACATAGAACAACAAGGAACTAAAGGAAGTCAGCTTGATGATATAGGATGGAGGCTCTTTTTTCTGAGGTCACTGCCAGATGAATCTCTGAAGAATTCAAAGTCTTTCACTCCATTTGCTTGGACAGATTTAAAGACTAGGCATACAGATTTAAAGACTAGGCATAGCCATCTGTGTCCATTAAAATCTCTCCAACCTTTGTTTTAGTGCTGTTCCCCTCTCATTCCCCACCAAACTGGTTGGAAATGCTAGTTAGGTGCTCAGCCTTAAGCATGTTAGGAATTTAGTCATTTATGGATTGTAAAATAGCCTTTGATTATTTTGATAGCTTTTGATTTTGAAATGACTAGATTCAAACCACACTGTATATTGTTAAGTCCATAAAAAGATGTTCCTCTCCACCTCTGAAATGTTTAATTCTTGGTAGATCCACCACTGGCAAATGAATAAAAGTAGGTATAAAATAAGGAAAATTATGTACTCCATAGACTTCTCTTACTCTCTCACCAGCCACATCCAACTGCCCAGTTGATTCTGCCTCATAGTTATCTATTCCTTGAATACCTTCTACCTTCCTAGTACCGCTGTTTGAGTTCAGGCCCTCTTTCCTGCCTGGATTACCACTCTTAATTGGTTTCCCTGCTTCCAGGCACTCTAATCCATCTACCACAACACCAATGTAACTACCTTTTCTAAAAAAGAAATGAGATCATGTCACTTCCCTGTGGGTTTCTCACTAACATAAGTGTACAGTCCAAACTCCTTCACAGACCGTATAATAATGATCTGCCTCCTGCCTATGTTCCCAGCTCATCTTTCACTGTATCCCCTCCCCTCATATATCCTACATTGAGCTCTGGAGAACAATTTGCAGTGCCCCTGCCTGATGCATCATGAGTACCATTATCTCCATGCCTTCGCACAAAGCTGTTTCTCTGTCTGAAAGATTTTTTCCTTGTCTGCTTGACCATTGCCTATTTGTCCTAAGGGCTGAGTTTGGTGCCCAACTTTTATCCCAGTAGTTCTCAACCTAAGCTGTGTATTAGAATCTCCTTAGGAGCCTTTATTTATTTATTATTATTTTTTATCCTCACCCGAGGACTTTTTTGCATTTATCTTCAGATAGAGGGGGAGGGAGAGAGAGGAGGAAGAGAAAGAGAGAGAAACATCGATGTGAGAGAGACGCACAGAGTGGTTGCCACCACCATGACCCCAATTAGGGCCAGAGACAAATTGCAACTGAGATACATGCCCTTAGTGGGAACCGAACCTGGGACTCTCCGGTCTGCAGGCCAATGCTCTAACCGCTGAGCCAAACTGGCCAGGGCTCTCCTTAGGAGCTTTTAAAAATACCAATTCAATAAACAAAATGAAAGATAAAAATCATATCAATAGATGCTGAAAAAGCATTTGACAAAAATCCAGCACCCATTTCTGATAAAAACGTTCAGCAATCTGGGAATATAGGGATCATATCTAGACATAATAAAGACCATATATGAATGACCTACAGCCAACATCATACACAATGGGCAAAAACTAAAAGCATTTCCCTTAACAACAGGAACAAGACAAGGATGCCCACTTTCGCCACTCTGATTTAACATAGTACCAGAAATCTTAGCCACAGCAATCAGACAGGAAGAAAAAATAAAAGGGATCCAAATTGGAAAGGAGAAAGTGAAACTGTCATTATTCGCAGATAATATGATACTATACGTAGAAATCCCCAAAGACTCCATCAAAAATCTACTAGACTGAATAAATGAATTTGGCAAAGTAGCAGGATACAAAATTAACGTCAAGAAATTGACGGCATTACTATACACCAATGATGAATTGACAGAAAGAAACTAAAAAAAAAAATCCCATTTACCACTGTGGCAAAAAAATTAAGATACCTAAGAATAAACTTAACCAAAGAAATAAAGGATCTATTTGCCAAAAACTACAGGTCATTGAAAAAAGAAATAGAGGAAGATATAAAAAAGTGGAAGCACATACCTTGTTCATGGATTGGAAGAATTAACATCATTAAAATGTCTATACTACCCAAAGTAATCTATAGATTCAATGCAATCCCCATCAACATACTTCACAGAACTAGAACAAATACTTCAAAAGTTCATATGGAACCAAAAAAGACCCCAAATAGCCACAGCACTCTTGAAAAAGAAGAACAAAGTTGGAGGGATCACATTACCAGATTTCAGGTTATACTACAAAGCCACTGTAATCTAAACAGCCTGGTACTGGCACAAGAACAGGCATATAGACCAGTGGAACAGAACAGAGAACCCAGAAATGGACCCAAGGCAATATGCGCAATTAATATTTGACAAAGGGGGCAAGAGCATACATTGGAGTAAGGACAGCCTCTTTAATAAATGGTGTTGGAAAAATTGGACAGCTACATGCAAAAAAATGAAACTAGACCATCAAATTACACCCTACACAAGAATAAACTCAAAATGGATAAAAGACTTAAATGTGACTCATGAATCCATAAAAATCCTAGAAGAAAATGTAGGCAACAAATTTCAGACATCATACACAGCAGAATTTTCACTGATACATCACCTAAGGCAACAGAAATAAGGGAGAAAATGAACACATGGGACTACATCAAACTCAAAAGCTTTTGCACAGCAAAAGATAACAATAATCGAAATGGAAAGGCAACCCACTGTATGGGAGAGCATCATTGCCAATGATATATCAGATAAGGGGTTAATTTCCAATATATATAGAGTGTTCATACAACTCAACAAAAGGAAGACAAAAAACCCAATTAAAAAATGGGAAGAGGACCTAAATAGACACCTCTCCAAACAGGACATACAAATGGCTAAGAGACATAGGAAGAAATGGTCAACATCACTAATCATCAGAGAGATGCAAATTAAAACAACAATACAGTATCACCTCACACCTGTCAGAATGGCCGCCATCAACAAATCATCAAACAACAAGTGTTGGCGAGGGTGTGCAGAAAAGGGGACTCTAGTACACTGCTGGTGAAAATGCAGACTGGTGCAGCCACTAGGGAAAACTATATGGTGTTACCTCAAAAAATTAAAAATTGAACTGCCATTTGACCCAGTGATTCCACTTCTAGGAATATACCCTAACAAGCCTGAAACACCAGTCAGAAAGAATGTATGTACCCCCATGTTCATAGCAGCACTATTTACAATAGCTAAGATCTGGAAACTGCCCAAATGTCCATCAGTAGATGAATGGATAAAAAAGCAGTGGTACATATACACAATGGAGTACTATGCAGCTGTAAGAAAGAAAGATCTCTTATCCTTTGAGATGACATGGAGGGACCTGCAAAGTATTATCCTAAGGGAAACAAGCCAAACAGAGAAAGACAAGTATCATATGATCTCACTTATTTGTGGAATATAATGAACATTATATTGAGGAATGGGGTAGTCCCAGAGACGTGGACGTGGGGTACAGACTGACAATCCCCAGAAGAGGGGGTGGTGGGGGAGAGATAAATCATAGAACTTATATGCATGTATGCATGAACAATGGACATGGACAACAAAGTTGAGGACAAGAAGGGGAGGGAGGGGGAGAGGGGAATCAGTGGGGGGGGGGGGAGAAACATCTGTTTCAAAAATAAATTTTAAAAAATACCAATTCATTGGACCTCTCTCCAGATAATTTAAACCATGATCTCTGAGGGATAGGGCAAGAGCATCTGTATTTTTTAAAAGCTCCCTGGCATATTCTTAAGTTCAGCCAGGTTTGAGAATCACTGTTCTAGGCTCTCTGACCTCTATCATAGCACTTAATGAACTATGTTGCGGTTATTTGTTTACTAGTTATCTCCCTCACCAAATGGAAGACTCTTTGAAGCCCAGGACTATGATTTGTTCATCCTTTCATTTTGACCACCTATCACAGTGCTTGACATTTGATAGAGGCTCAGATACTGCCCAAGGTCACAGAAAGTTAATTGCAAAGTCCCAGGTCTGTTGACAACCTGTCTTGTGTCAATATGATACTACTGGATCATATTGTAGTCCCTGAGATCTTCAGATCTTTTCTTTATTCTGCTTAGGTGTCACTAAATTTCTATCTCATGTCAATATGGGGAGAGTTGATTTGTTACAAAACACTTCATAATCTGTAGCAATCCCTTATAAATTCTAGTAAAGAGCAAGTAAGCTAACCAATTAAAAATCTTTTTTCTGAAGTCAATTTAAATCTTTTAATGTGTATTTAAAGGTGTATTTTTCAAAATGTACTTTTGGACTAGAAAGTTTACACAAAATTACAGAACTTGGACTTTAGAAGGGACTTTAAACAAGCATCAAGTTTCTTCACAGAAGAGGAAATTGGAGTTTAGACACGTTGAAAGGGTATCCAAAGTTCCACAGTTAATTGCGTTTGTTAACAATTAAGGTGAGTACCAAAGCCTAAGTATTATTACTACGGGTTCATATTCCAATTTAAATCATATTTTGCCTCTCTTGACCACAAAAATAACAGGCTCAGCAGCCCTGAGATTATTAGTTTCATGTTCTACTAACTGAGTTAGCTAAGTATGTAATCCACATTCTGTTTTAAGAAAGTCAGCAGTCTTGAGAGATTTTCTACATCAATTGGATTAAACAGATCAATGAGAACAAAAATTAGGAATGTAAAATCTGACTGTATCCTACCTTGAACAAATCATTTAATCTCAGGGCCTTAGATTCCCAATTTAAAATCGGATTAAAAGAACACCATTTGAATATTTTACAATCATGTGGTGTTGTTTTACCTCTTCAATGGGTTTAGATGAGTATTTGAAATTTTTTCCTTATTTTTTGAACTATATTGCAATGATTTATTATTTGTTAACTAAGACAAGAAATAGGCTTGTTTACTAGCTAGCAGAAACTTACACCTTCTTGACAAAATGAATCATTTACCATCTTTAAAGTATTGAAATTGTATGTTCATTGTCAGTCAGGCTTACGTTTCTTCAAATGCTCCAAATCTTTCAATTTCTTCAAAACACAAAACTGGAATATTGTAACTTTTAATTCTACTTTGTTTTTAAGATTTTACTTTGGAATCTGACTTTCATCTATATGGCAGCACAAAGTTATCAGTTAGGTAGGCTGGCTGCTCATGGGTGTCTGTGTTTTGACAAATCCAGTATATGGATCTCAGGTTTGTGTACAAATTGGTTTACTTACCCAACAAATCAGAGACTCATTCAAGCTACTCAAACTCCCAAGAGAGTCACTTACACACTAAATATTAATTTAAATTACAGAGAGGACTATACCCTCCAATGTGGTTAGACTATGTCTATGTTTAGGGCATCCCTCTTCTCAGAATCAAATTATTAGGGAAATTGAATTAATAGTCTAAAAGTATTGGTGGAATTAAAACAGCTTTATTACAGTTTTATTTATACTCATAATACTCCAATTATGTTTATCTGAGAACAAAACTCCTGATATCCTTAATTGGACTTGGGAAGATACTTTTCAATTTTAAGTTCAACTGAGGAAAAACTCTGTCACATTTGTAATACATTTACAAATCATAATGTTGGGTAGTTTCTTTTTTGTTAATCTACACTTGAGGATATTTTCCCACTGATTTTCAGATAGAGTGGAAGGGACTGGGGGAGAGAGAAACACTGATGTGAGAGATACATGGATTGGTTGCCTCCCAAAAGACAGGGGCTGAGGATTGAAACTGCAATCGAGGTACATGCCCTTGACTGGGAATCTAACCTGCTACCCTTTGGTGGGCCAAAGCTCTAACCACTGAACCAAACTGGCCTCGGCTGTAGTTTTATTTTTTGTGGCCTATCTCATTTATTTTACCTTGACTTTCTGGCTATTTAGGAAATATCTGCTTACATTTCGTCCCCCAAAGTTACCTTTTGGGAATGACCTGAAAGTGATTAGTAATGTTTGTCACTTTTTTCCTAAATTAAGGTCAGCAATAGCCCGATACTTTCATCTTTAGTCTAGAATTACAGGTATCAAAGAGGACAAATGACAGTATGCAATATTATGCCTTGCCTTTTAGTATTGAGTGAACTATGGCCACCTTAAGTGCTATCTCCTTTTATAGGTAGAGGCTTCTGAAATCTGTTACATGCTAAGGCAAATTTCTAACAGCCCCTCTGGCACCTTGGGAGGAACCCAGATTGCTAGCAAGTCAAAGTCCCCATTGCACCATGTTTTGTATTTAGTTATCAAATATTAGGAAACAAAAGGAGAACAAGGTTCTGTGTTTGAAAGGGATACCTGCTCTGCAACCAATCAACCCCACAGGTGGTACACAAGCAGACAAATATGACATGTATCTATACATGATAAAATAAGATTTTTCAGAATTGCTTCCTTTACAAATTCATTTATGCTAACATTTCAAACTTTTACTTAAGGTTCATTTTAAGCTAAAAAACTGTATAAATATTCTTATAAGCAGATTTCCTCCAATTATTAGTCAACCTGAAAGAAAAAAAGTTTAGGTTAACAAAATAATTTTGTTTATATTGCTTTTATAGAGACAAAAATATTTTCTAGGGTAGCTGGGCTTTAAGCTAAGTCTGCTGACTTGGAAACCAATAATCAGTAATAATTTAAGAAAAACATGATACTTTGATTTTTCTAAAAGTTCACATAGGTTTAATCCATGTCAGTTGCTAACTTTGGGACTAACTTTTCTTGACTTGTGTATACTGAACACTAAGACCTGAAGGCCTTGTAATCAGAACCCTTTTAAGAAATCAAATAGCTTCTGGGCACTTAATGTTGCTTTTTCATTTAACAAATCTCACCCTCCTTTCCCTCCTGTTCTAGCAAATTCTATCCTCCTTCCTTATAGTCTACCCTTTCTTTGAATTAAGGGAAGAGAAATACCATTGCTTTCTTTAGAAATCAAACTTTTCTTTGTTTCTGGTTTTCTTTTTATTAGATTAACAGCCATATACATAAGTGGTGACCTTGTACATTTGTAAATTGTCAGGACACACATGAAAGTTTCTCTATCTTGTGAATGCTAACATGAGATGATGCGGGTGGCATTAAAGGTATAAATTAGAGCCCTCAGAAAGGAATAAAATCTGTAGTAACGGTGGAGAGAGATAAGTCTGTAAAAAGAGTTGAGCAAACTGTTAACCTATCAAGGTACTAGCCTTACATATGGTACCCAGATCCATTCTCCCTTGATCCATTTGGTAGGGGGACAGCTGATCTCCATCCCCTGGGTGAGTACATGATCAAGGCCAACCAAACCAATCAGAAAATGCCACTCCCCTTGTCTTAGTGTTTTGGTGATGGGCACATGACCTAAACCTATGGGTCTCAAGATTTTGTCTCAGGACCCCTTTACACTTTAAAAATTAGGCAGGACTCCAAAGAGCTTTTGTTCATGTAGGTTAAATCTATTGATATTTATATATTAAAAATTGTTTAAATATAAAAATAGACAAACACATCCCAACAAAGAAAAAAAGATCACATTACACAGTAAGGTCACTGGGTTTATGCTGTGTAAATTTTGTTACAGCTTGCAAAATTTGCAAAGATGAATACCTTGAGGAAAATTGTTGGAAGACAAGCATCTATTATAACTGTCCAGTTTAGTTAATGACTTTTTCCAGCAATTTTAGTAGTGTTAGCAAACAAATCTCCATATACTACAAATCCATGTATCTCCATTCACCCTAATTAAATTTTAATGAACTTAACAAGTCCCTTGTTTTCTGTTATATATTTGTGAAATAAAAGTGTCAGTTCCATTCCATGAATAATGGTAGAATGTCTAAGTTGAAAGGGTGCACAGTCTATCACTTAAAGGGTGCTTATTTGGTCTACCACCTTATTTAAACGATAAAGAAAAAGGCCCAAACTTGTTTAAGATTACACAACCTATTGGTAGGCAGGTTTAGAATATACCTCTCTAAAAGTTCAAGACATTTAATCATTTCAAATTTGAAAGAACCATAGGAGAATAAATATAGGTCACAGAGGTAACAATGCAACAAACTATTTGCTCTTCATCTTTAGAGATAAAGGAAACTTATCTTGGACATACTTTCCCATTTAGGTGTATATATCTCATTTGAAACTAGTTAAGTTTATGATCTGGCTTCAACTCTTAATCCATCGTCAAAAATACTAGTAATACACATACTCAGAAGAAATTTTACTAATTTATTTTATCCCACCTCAACTCCATCCACTTTCTTCTTTGTACTCCCACTATTTAAAATGAAATACATAACAATGTAAATCTTCAGTTAGAAAATAAGTCCATGTTCCAACTGGAACAATAAAAAACTCATAACCATCAAATTGAGATTTTAATTGTGTACAAACATTGATTATACATTTTTTGACACTCTGCTTTTCATTTTTAAGCTTCTCAGGTTTTACCATGGCTGAGAACCAGAGGAAAACTATATATATATTTTAAATTCAGAAGTTGAAAGGGCTAAAAGCAGGGTACTAAGAAACTGATATGAAATAGCCAGAGTTAATAACATATTTTATGAAAAACACCTGGAAAAAGAAAAAGTAATAAAAGCTATTTTCACGGTCCTTTCACATCCCACTAATACGGAATTGAAACTCAATTGCCGTGGCCTGGGTTCCATTTCCACTTCGGAGACACGGTTCAGGTGGGAGGCACATCTTCTCTCTAAGACTGGTGCTTTTCATTCAACAGCAGAGACCGTGGCCATGAAGCCACAAAACCACGGACAGCAGCAGGAAGAGAAGCCAGGTGTCTACAGTCAAGATGCTCTGCTGCAGACTCCTAAGCTTGTGAAGATCGCCCTGTAAACACAGACTTGGGAGATGGGATCCTAAAGCCCAGGAGAAGCAGAAATGAGGAAGCAAGTGGGACGACGAAGCAGGACAGGATACCGCCTTCTTCAAGGCCCACAGCAGACTGGCATAGTAGCCGCCGTTCTGACACCCACCCAGCTTCCTGAGCTACCTCCAGGTTCCCTGGAGCCGTCACGGGGTCGACCCGCAGCTCCTAGGGGTTGCGAGGAGTGGCCCCGGATGCTCGGTCCTTTCCTCACCCGCTCAGAAGAGCGGCTCCGCAGCGCAGAGAAGCCGGCCAGAGCCCCGCAAACGCGGAGGCGCCGGGCTCGGCAGGGGATTGCTTCTGTCTAGCGCTCCGCTGAGGCTGCGTTCGGGTCTCGCGCGCACCCGCTCCGCGTTCTCCCAGCCAATCGGGCGCTACTCGCGCGTCCCGAGCGTTCCCCCGTCCTCCTCCGGCACGGCCGGCTCCTTCCCGCTCAGTACTCTGCGCCGAGCTCTCACTCCTCCCCTCACTCTCCACGAGTTTCACGCCTCGCCGTGTAGCTCCGCCCTGTCCCCGGGTCCGCCCCCGCAACCTCCCGAGCTTGTGCTCTTCTTTTCCCTCAGTCTCTTGCTCTCCAGCCGCCCTGGCTCTCGTGCTCCGCAGCGGCCTGGGACTAACCGGCCCGGACGGACACCGCGCTTTCGCCTCAGCGTGTGCCACCCGCGGCCCGCCGCCTCCGACTGGGACTCGGGGTCGCGCGCCCTGACTCCGCCCCCTCCCGCGGACTCGCGCGCTCCCGGCGCGGCCTCTCCCCGGCGCCGGCCGACCGGCACTCGGCCGCCTCCCCTTCCGTCCCCGCTCACCTCGCGCTCCCGCTCTCGCGGCTGTCCAAGGCGAGCGCGCTCCCGGCCGGCGCGTTCCGAGCTCCGGCTTCTCCCGGCTCCTGTCAGTGCGGTGACTGCGCTGGGAAACATGGCGACCGAGGGAATGATCCTCACTAACCACGATCATCAAATCCGCGTCGGAGTCCTCACAGGTAACCGGGGGAGGAGGTCCGGGGCCGCCGCCGCCGCTGTCCCTGACTTGCCTCAGGCTTCTTGCCTGTGGTGACCCTTCTCTGCGGCCTCGGGGGGAAGGAAGGCTGAGGAGGGGGACGGGAAAGGGGGGCGTTTTACAACCGTTGAGAGCTGCTGTAGGTTGGGGTGTTCCCATGCAACGCCCCCCGCCCCCGGGAGTAAGAGCCGGTCCCGTGGGATGTCAGGCCCCAGCACTTTCGCAGACGAAGTCCCTGGCCCCCGGGGACCGAGGGACCGGTGCGGCGGGCGCTGCGGGGCTCCTGGTGGCCGGTGCAGGCGGCGGGATCCCGGCTCCGCAGCCCGAAGCACGCCGCTCTCGGCTGGCCCGCCACTTCTCCGCTAATGCCGGTCCGAGAGAGGGGGAATCCCATTCCCACCCCCTCGCCGGCCTCCCCCTCCCCCACTCGGGTGCCCCGAGCCGCTCCGGCTGTGCTTGCCGGGGGGCACGGGCCGGACCCGACTTGGAGGATCCTCAGGCGGAACTCTGCTCAGCCTCGGGCTGCCCCTAGTGAGCCGGGTATCCCCTCAGACACCCATGGGACATCCTTAGTCTCCCCCGAGAGGTGGGGGATCGGCTTGCACCCGCACCTCCGAAAGTGTCTGCATTCGCCTTTCCGAGCTAAGGGCCTTCTGCCCGCCCCTTCGTTTCTCTAGGGACTGGCTGAGCCTGCGGCTGGGGATCCAGCCCTTTCACTGGAGGGAGGATTCCTCCACTTGGGCTCCTCTGTTCCTTCTGGGACATCCCACTCCCCCCCCGCCTGGGTCCCGAGGCTGGTGAGGAGCACACTTCTCCCGGGTCGCGTTTCCCTCCCTCGCGGAGCCCGTGTGTGCCCTGCATGTCTGATTCCGTTGCGTTGTATTTAGGTAATATCCCTCAGTTCGGCGATAGACAGTTGCTGCAGGGCATGACTTCCGAGATGAATAGCAAGCCAATTTGTAGGGGTTTCTGCTGTGTTTTTGTAGTTGGCAGGGCTTACGTGTAATTGAGTGGCGCCGAGGGTGGGGGGGTGTTAAAGAACTATATTTAGAATCTGAGGGTTTAGTTCGGAGAGAAGGAAATCCAAGATTTACTGTTGTGATTTTGGAAAAAGAAGTGATGTAGACGGGAATCCTAGTGTTCCCCACCCCCCCAATTCTTTTTAATTTTTTTCCCCTTGTCAAATTCTGACAGGTGAGACGGTGCTCGAGAAGGGACTAAACTGAATGAGACTTGATTTTATTATTAGGTAGAAAAAATTCTGTCGGTAGATACTGAGTGCAAAGCTTTATTTGTTTGCTGAGTTCTATGAAAAGGAGATACCCATGACACTCCTTACACTCTTTTAAGTAAATGGATTGCCTTTTCCAGGTTTTCTTTCTAGATGTTAATGGTGATTTATTGAATTTTTCTAATAGAAAGCCTCTTGGATAGAGAAGCTAGTCTAAACGTATTGCTGGGAAGGGATCCCCCCAAATCAGAAGATGAGCTGTGCTGTCCTTTTTTTTTTTTTTTTTTTTTTTTTTTATGCTGAAACTGTTGCCTTATGCAAAGATTCAATTATACCTCAGAACTGTTAGAGTTGACATTGCTGATTTTCAAAGAATCTAATCATGGGGTATAAAAGTGTATACCCTATTTCAACCCTCAACTTGTATTTTAAATTCTAGCCATGTTTTAAAAACTAGTGGAGTAGTAAGAATGAAGCTTATAAAAACCAAATATGTCAACTGACCATGGAAATGAAAGATCATAGATGTTTTAAAATTAAACCACAGAGATTAAAAAACTTTTTTTGTGTGTTTATTTAAGCTTTCCCTAGTAGTTTTATTTAGCGAATCATCTTACTTGGGTCAAGTGACATAGTTGTACAAAATGCTTTGAAAGAGACAGCCCTTATGTGTATCCCTACAGTCCAAATAGGGATAAGACTGATAGGCAAACAACTAAAGAAACTATGTAATTATTTTGCTAAAATTGTCTAAATAAATTACCTGTGCATTTGAGAGCTAAATGTAAAAGGAAGTCCATATTCAGATGGATTCTGAACAAATGTCATTACCTGAAGGCAGAATTTAGTAAATTTACCAGAAACTGACATTTTAAAGGTAGTTGGAAGTCAGTGACAACCTTATGAATGAAAATGTTGCCCTGGCTGGGTAGCTCAGTTGATTAGAGCATCCTCCTATTCAGGAGTTTCCCTTAGATCTCCCTTCAGGGCACAATCAGGAGTCAACCAATGAATGCATAAATAAGTGGAACAACAAATTTCTCTCTCTCTCTCTCTCTCTCTCTCCCTCCCTCTCCCTCTCCCTCTCCCTCTCCCTCTCCCTCTCCCTCCCCTCCCTCCCTCCCTCTCCCACTCCCTTACCCCCTCCTCTCCTTCCCTCCCTCCATCTGCCTCGACCTCTCTCTCTCTCAAATCAATAAAAAAAAAAAAATTAAAAGAAAATGTTGGTGAGGATGAGGCTCTTGAGCAGAATAAAAATATAATACAAAAGCCTTGAGAAGCCCAGGTGGGATAGGTATGTGGCATAGGCAAAATGTCAAGGAGAGAAGAGAATTTGGCCAGTGTAATTAAAGATGGTCTGGAGAAGCTGTCTCATGAGAATGAGGTGCAGTAGTATAAGGGAAAAGTCTAGGGTAAGGAATAAGGATGTAGCTGAAAGAATGAAGAGAAAGTTGCAGATTTGGGAGAAGTGGTAACAGGGCATAGGATTTGATGATAAAATGGATATCTGAAGTCAGAAATAACTGAGGTTTTTACTTGAAAAGCCATTGATATAAATATTGTGTACTATGATGGAGCCTGAAAACAGGGAGAAGAATTAGATGAAAGAGCACCAGCCCTCAGTTTGCAGGTAGTGGATTTTATTACAAACAGCTTAATATTTATGTTCTTGATATTCCATATGATTTTATGAAAAACAACTATAAAAATAAAGCTATGTTGTGCAATTTTGTATCTTGTAGAACTTCAAGGGTTGCACTTCTACTATGTGAAATTATTCTTTACTGAACTTAAGTACCATGATTTTATACTTAAGAAGGTTGAGTTAAGAGGCCACACTTAAAACTGTGATTTTATGGGTTTTAATTTGCAGCTCTCTTTAAAGGCAAAGGACTCGTTTTATAAAATATCCTCTGTATCTTCATAATAGGGATATTAAGTATTTTTCCTAAATCTGTTTTACAGAGGTAGTGGAAAGTATTGTCTATCCATGCACACATTTTACAATGTGGTAGTATTTTTGTGAAACTGTATTGTCATTTCTAAGTCTTTAATTGAATTCTTTGTGACATTTTTTTATTTTCTGTTGCAAGATAATATACTTTGAAACATTCATCTTCTAAATGTTTTTGTAATCTTCAGCTCAGCTATGAATTTGGCAATTAATAGTATGCAATCTATTGAAACTTATCATCAAATGAATTAACTATTAGAATTTTGAAAGAATAGTGATAGGAAGGAAAATATTTAGTAAGGGCATTTCTCTTTTACTTGATATCTTGAATTGATTAGGGCTTGGAAATCAGATTATGATAATATAACACGGATATTTTAGCTATACTAATTAATTTTTATCAGGAAAATTGGGAATATTTTTATATATAAAATAGGTTATCATGGAAAGATTTTATGTTGAATATTATTGTCTGTATCTAGGAACAATATCTTTGTCAGTAAATATCTTATGATGATTTGCTATAAATGAAGTGTTACATACAGGTCTTTGGTGATCTAAGATCTAGTTTTTAATGTATCTGTTTCTAATGCTCTCTACTTCTATTGCTACTTACAACAGAAAAAAGATTATATGATGATGAATAAAATGAGGCAAACAAGTATCTGCTGTTTTGAAACTAGAAAGAAAATGTGGGGCAGATGTGGGGTTTTTGTTTGTTTTTTATAGCTTTAGTAGTAATTATACTTGCAGTGGGTCTTAACAATTACATAGCAGGGTAACTATATTTTGAATGTGTCACTTTTCACCTACTTTAAAAAATTTCTAACGAAGCTGTTTATCAAGGGAGCACACTAGTTGTACCACTATGAAAGTTTCTCCCAGGCAGGAAGAAAATAATGAATACTTGTATGGATAATATAGAATGAGATAGATTATGTTCCATTGTGTATTTAATATTGGATTAGCTTGTCACTGCTAATGTTCAGTACCAGAGCACTTAGCTAAAGATGATAATTCATTACCTAAATTTTCACTAATAGTGGCATGGATGAGAAATGATATAAATATTTAACAAAGGGCATTTTAAAAACTCATACTTTTGCTCTAGTAATATATATTTTTATTGTACTAAGCTGTAGATTTGTAGTCAGTAAGAGGTATTAGAACAAGATATGACTAGATAATAAATATAAAAAACTAATTGTAAACCAGAACACCTAAAATATTAGTTACATGCAGGTAGTATTTAAGTATTCAAAATGTTAAACAAATTCCAAGCCAAGGAGATGATAATCATGTAACTCTGGAATTGTTCAAGCACTTATTTTATTGCATTCCTCAAGCTTATCCTTGTGCATTATAACTGTCAGTATTATATTCTCAAAAGCCCATTGATTGATGAGGATATCTAAATATATCTTTGTTTTTAAGTAGCCAAATTACTACTGTAAACAAAACCTAAATCCTACCAAATGGAATTGTGCATTCTGGCAGACATACCAACATTGATCTATAAGACTTTTGTTAAAATGAAGCCTATTTTAAAATAGGTTGTTCTTTTATGAATTTTTGGTTGGAAGCAATATATTAGAGAATTAAAATTTTAGTAGAAAATCATTAAATTAACTTCTAATGAATATACTTAATATTATTCATCACTGGCCTAAGACTTTATAAGCGATTAGTATATAGGTTGTTACATATTAAGAGTTTTAGTTATATTAAAAATATGACATGAGCCCTGGCCTGTTTGGCTCAGTGGTTGAGCATCAGCTTGCGGACCGGAGAGTCCCGG